TAACAGACCTTGTATATATGCATGTATGTATGAGATCTGAAATGTGAGGTGGCAATAATTTGAGAGAGGAAGACCCTAAAGGTTTCCCTTCCTGAAAGCATTTGGCCAGAGATACGTTGATTAGTTGCTGGAGAATTGTTGTGATAATCGACGAGGCTGAATAAGTCATCCTGCTCAACGTTGCGGTTTCACCGTCCTTCAAGTCCCAGACGTCCATCTGTTAACGGCACCCTTGTTCGCAAACATTTCGAGTTCTTCCGATTGTTCTGGGATAACGCCTTGGGGGCTTGGGAGTGTCCGCCATTCATATTGACCGCCACAGCTTCATGATAGCACGCATCTTCACGAAGCGAACGTTAAAGTAACACAAGTGTTCACGAAAAAATTCGAAAAATTAACATTTCTTTCTTTAAATTCTTCCAAATGTACACATGGATAACAGACAAACGATCATTTTAGAGCGATCTCCTCAGAGCTCCATTCACGGTTTTCTCAAACTGTATCCGCTTGATATATCTCACCGATTACTGTATGTTAATTGCAGTGAAAAAGTGTCTGGACCAATATATTCAGGTTCGACGGCCTCGAGTCAGGTACACACTATGGATGCAACGGCACATTCATTAATTTCAATGGCGATGATGACAGTAAAGACCTTGACTGTGAGCTGCGTTTACGTTCTGCCCACCCTCGCCTGAGCTATTCGGCAAATTGTTCACATTCAGTGGAATGGACGAAAATGACATAATGTTCATTGTGAATCAGTTTTGTACTTTGTTGTAGAATAAAAGTCGGCTTCAGCTCGGGAGAAATCGACTCTCCCCATATCTTGCATGGTATGCAAATAATTTGAAGGCACGCGCCGGGATTGAACCACGGAAATTATCCGTGCGATGGGTATGATAGAGCTGTTTGCGAGATCGATGCGCTATTCACGGCTTGAAGGTGGTTGATAGGGACGCTGAGTCCTTGTCAATGCTCATGATTAGTGGTTGGGCGGATTATTAA